CCCCTCCCCACAGCCCAGCTCCCCCCTCCACAGCGGATCTCCGCTCCCCTCCACAGCCGAGATCGTCCAGTCAGGTCAGCAGCACAGCTGGGCCACCTATGTATGGAGGCGGCCTTGAAATGTTTGCTGCCGAAGATCAAAGACTTCAATGTGGATTACATCTCAACATCCAGAAAACATTCTTACCACTGGGCCAACAGGCAACGTCATGACTGATGGAGAACTACAAGTTGTCAAAGATTTCATCCTACTCGGATCCACAATCAATACATTTAGCAGCAGGAGCCAGGAAATCAAAAGACTGGAAAGTCAGCTGTCAGGGGCCGCTCCAAAGTGCTGAAGAGCAAAGTTTGAAGACTTAAGATGCACCTGATCCAAACCATCCTCTTTTCATTACTTGCTAGTCATCTGAAAGTGGGACCACTTTCACTACTGGGCCAACTGGAAGCACAATGATAGATGGGAGACGAGATTGCGGTTAACAATTTCAGCTTGCTCAGATTCACAACAACTCTCTTGGCACCAGCAGTTAAGAAATCAAAAGACAAATTGCATTGGGGAGATCTGCTGTCAGGAACCCCTCCATGGTACTGAAGAGCAAGGATGTCAGTCTAGAGACCAAGGCGTGCCTGGCCCAGGGCACGGTCTTTGCAGCTACTTGCTCTGCATCAGAGAGTTTGACAGTCCTCAAAGATAACAGAACTGATGCCTTTGAGTTGTGCTGGAGAAGAGTGCTTAGCATACCATGGACCGCCAAGAGAACAGGTCTCTCCTTGGGAGTGTGAAACCAAGCTCCTCTTTAGAGACCAGAATTTTGAGACACCGTTTCACATACCTTGGTCATGAAGCCAGGACGGGCCAGTCTTTGGAGAATGATATCATGCTTGGAAGGACCGAGGGACAGTGAGAAGAGGAAGAGCCTGGATGAGATGAACTAATGCAGTAACTGGGGTGATGAGGGTAGGCGTGTCAGAGACAGTGAGACTGGCTCGGGACAGAGCAGGGTTCAGAGCTATTGTGCACAGGGTCGCTATGAATCGTAGGCAATAGCACTTGACATCTGAAGGCTGGTTAATAAAGATGCAATTTTAGGAAGTATAAAGTATATGAAGTAAATAAATTAATCTGGAAGGATCGACGTCTGTGAACTGTGGTGCTGGAGAAGAAGCAGGCAAAGATGGTGCAAGTCTATCTCACACACTCGGGGGCACGTTCACAGGAGGGTCAGGCCTTGGAAAGGGCATCATGCTTCGAAAGGTGGAAGGTCCGTGAACAAGATGGATAGGCAGTGACCGACAGTGGGCTCAGGTACGTCAGAGATGGTCAGGACGGCGCAGGACAGGTCACTGACCCTGTGATGTGCTGAGTCACAGTACACGCAAAGGCCCCTACATTTACGTGTGTGCCTGTTAGAGAAATCCCTCCCAAACCCCAAGTCTGCTCTGTGAGCTCATGAACCAGCAGGAAGGTCGAGTGGCAGCGGTGGAACACTGGTCCCGAGCTGGCTGAGAGCCCTCAGAGACCAGGCTCAGGACAGATACCGTCCTGGGCAGGGGCCACAGAGGCAGGGCAGCTGCAGGGAGGCTACGGAGAAAGCCGTGGGGAAGGGAGGGTGTGGTCTGCATCCCTTCAAGAAATCTCCAATCACTTCAACTCAGGGGCAGTGTCAGCGGCCACACCGTGTTCCCACAGACATTGCCAACATCCTGCTCTGGGGAACAGCGGCTGTAGCCTCTAAAGCTTGCACGTGGCACCGAGGGTCAACTGCTGGTCTCTCCACATCCAACACCAGGGAGGGAGAAGCTGAGAAACCCATGAACTTTTAGAGTCAATAGTCACAGTATCTACACCTGGGACCTGGAACCAGAAGTGCTGGCTGCCAGTGCCACCTGCTCTGAGAGCGCCAACAGAAGGTCCTTCACAGAGGTGGGCGACACAGACACCACCCTCATAAGCTTAAGGAAAACATGTCTGACGGCCGAAGGGGCCTGAGACTGCGACTCAGACGCCCTCCAGCTCTGTCGAGCCCGCCCTGGGATCCGCCAAACTGAAGACATTCCTGGCTGACAAAGCCCAGGAGGGCATCTCCTCAGTGCAGCCACACGGCACAGGAAGGAAGGGCAAGGGGAGGACGGCTGGACATGGGAATTCAGGGAGGGACGAGGGAGAGTGCCTCCTGCAGATTGCAGCCAACGTCCAGAAACCCAAGTGTGGGACAGCTGGGTGGACAGCGGACATGCTCCGAATGCCCAACACCAGCTAGTTTCTGGCCTCCAACACACATTTAAAACATTTCAAATGAGTAGTTTTAAAAAATTTTTCAAAGTAAAATTATGCCTCCTGTTCAAGGTGCCAAACAGTAAAATCCAACCACCAGCAGCAGCACCACAGGGCAGCAGCTGAGGCATATGGACAGCTGTGGGCTGCCCCGTGTCCACCAGGGCCAGCGCAGCCGCTCCCAGTGGTCACAGCAGTGACTGCCGTTTGGGGTCACAGGCTGACCACTGGGCAAGGCTGGTGCCGGGATCACTAGGTTCCTGTCACCCTTTGCATCACGAGGACCGCGCTCGCGGGCAGGTGGCCAGCCAGCCACGACGGCACTGCTTTCAGTCCTCATCGGTCAGCACCGGGGCTGAGGCTTTGTGACTCAGGAAGCCACAAGTCGGGGGAGCTGGCGCCATGCCTGCCAGCACCCGTGACCTGAGGGCAGCCAGGAGAGCAGGTCACCAGCTGACAGAGACCAGCCCCGGATCCAGGTTGCCCAGCAGTCCATGAGAAGGGTCATGGAGAGTGGGGTCTGGAAGGGTCATCTAAACCAGGGTGACAAAGGGGGCCCCACAGCATGCAGAAGACAGCAGATCTAGAAGAGTGTCACAGCAGGGGTGCACCACCATGGCACTCTACCAGGTACAGGTGAGCTGGCTTTTCCGATCTGGGCAGCCAGGGGCCACAAGTCTTGCCAATGTCTGGCAACTGAGACTTGAGTTCTGTCGAGCCCGACGTGTCACCACGACACTAGCACAGCAGGACAGGACAGTGACAAGGTATCTGTTCCCAGGAAGCATGTGTGTGATATACCCATGATGCACAGTGAGGAGCTGAGTGAATGGTGGAGACGGATGGACGGACAGGGACGGTGAGCAGACAGGAGGATGAGGCCGGTGAGCGGTGCATGGACAGATGAAGGAAGGGAAGGCTGCGTTGCTGGCTGAGGGACGGGCAAGTAACGGAGGGAGAATGGCCAATCAGTGGGTAAGTTGGTGACTGGACCAATGGTGAATGGATGGAAGACCAAAGACTGTGGGCAAGGGGTTCAGAGTGGATGGGCGGCTGGATGTGGGGAGGGGACGCCTGAACATGAAGGGGACGCTGAGTGCGGGGGGGGACGCTGTGCGCAGAGGGGACGCTGAAAGTGGGGGGAACGCTGAGTGCGGGGGGGACGCTGCGCGTGGGGGGGACGCTGAGTGTGGAGGGGACACTGCACATGGAGGGAACACCCACGCCGCAGCTCACAGGCAGGGAGATCCTAGACTCTACAGCTCTAGTGGGTTACACTGTGGCTGCGTTTTTTTAAAAAACACGAAGACAGTTCTTTGTGAGAAGAAAAAACTGGACAGATGAGACACTGGAATGGTGTTTCCTTCAACTCTAGGGCTCCAGCCCAAGGCCGACTCATGGGCGGCAGCCCCTCCTGCTGGACGAGGCTACAGACGGCCCGTAGCGGCGCCTCCTGCAAGCGGCAGGCCGACCCAAGACCAGGAGGTGCTCCACCACCTGCTCCTCTCGGCACGCCAGGAAGGAGTCCACGGGCAGAGGAGCTAGAGCAGGGACTGTTGTGTGTCGTGTCCACCTCACCCTGGTGACCACGTCACAGCCAGGCTGTGCCCCTCGCCCACATGCGCGCAATCCGTCTCTGATACAGCCTCAGCTGGGCCAAGCCCAGGACAGCTCGCCCAGCTCGGAGCCCTGAGCCCCTCCTGCCCGAGCGGAAGCTGAAAATCCCAAGAACATGCAGAGAAGGCAACCCAGGACTGAAGGGTTCAGAGTGGAGGGGAAAACGCATCTGCACAGCCACAGCCTCTGCCGGGGACAGCTCGAAGGCCCCGGGGCCAGGATGGTGCAGACGCTCTCAGGTATGCGGGAGGGCACGGAGGACACGCTGCCAGTCAGCTGGCTGGACTGACCGAGACTGACGCCCTGGTCAGGCTGCCTGGGCCACAGGGTGGTTCAAACGCATTGCAGACGGCACCGGCTGCCGCATGCCAGAGCTGGACCCACCCATGCACAGGCACGCGCATCGGACACGCACTCCTGCGGTCAAGTCCAAGGCCACGAGAGGCTCCAGGGACAGGGGACCCTGCACACACGACAGCACAGCCTCCACAGGAGCTGTCGCCAGTCACTGAGGACGCAGCCGCTGTGGGGACCACGGCTGCTCAGAGTGCCTCCAACACAGCACGGAATCCGTGTAGACGGAGCGGCTTCAGAGCACGGCGCCCGTGCCGGGGGCACAGAGGGCCACACAGGGCTTGGAGCCCTGCTCCGGGAGACGGCCCTCAGCAGAGGAACCCAGAACAGGGACGGTGGCCACGGCAAGGTGACAGGACACAGCTTCTCCCCCACAGGTCGCACCAACGATGGGAACAAAGGGGCCTCTCTAAGGCTCCAGACCAGAGCACGACCGCCTGGGCCAAGGGCAGGAGTGGGGCAGGTCCTGGCCCCGCTGGCTGTGGAGGGAGAGCCTGGGCCAGCTTCCAGGTCTGTGCGGAGGAGCTGGACCAGTGGGCAGGACTGGGCCCCGGAGGGCTCCACCAGCCAGGGACAAGCAGGGGAGGCAGACGCCTGGAGTTTGGTGCGGAAGGTCCACGATTAGTCCCTCAAGGTGCTTGAGGGCAGCAACAAGTCATCTATGTCCTTGAGGGCGAGTCCCTATTGTCCTTCAAAGTCCTTAACCCAATGTCAGTGCTTCCAGGTGACAAAGCAGAATGAGAAGTAGTCGGGCCTTTCTTCCAGGGGGCCCTTATTCTAGGCAGCCCTTCTTCCAAGGGGCCTGTGGGTGTAGAGCCAGCCGAGCACTCCCGTCAAGTGTGGTGAAGAACACAGCAGCTTTTCCTTGGGCAGCGTGCACTTGGGAAGACCAGGTGTCCTAACACCAGCACGTTACCTTCAAGGCAAGTGGAGACAGAGGTCGGGGTGCTGGTAGTCCTGAAGACATGCAGTGTCTTTCCAACAGTGCTGAGAGCAGGACCCCATCCCTGAAGTGGGGCCCCATGCAGCCAGGAAGCAGAGGGCCAGTTACAGCCACATGTGAGGAGCAATGCAGCATCCACACAAAGGTCTGCTCCTCAACCAGGCCCCAGGCTTGGTGACCCTGGCCTTAATGACAGCCCCCAGCCGTGGTGACAGGCCAGGGACTTGGTGCCAGGCCCCAGACGTGGTGACACGGCAGAGCAGGGCCAGCTCCGATGCCCAGTCCTATAAGAACCAGCTGTCCTCTCAGGATCAGTTCACCTTCTCTCAGCTTTTCCTCCACAGAGATGTCCTTCCGACGAAGGAGAGGGGGCCCCCGGCTGCCTCCTGGGCCACAACTCTTGTCGCTTGCTGCCCACTCACATGTACAGAGTCCTGGGAGTCCTGGGAGTTGGAGAAGCCGCTGAGTGGACAGGACCATGTCTCGTGGGTGTTCAGGGGGGACTCTGAAGTCACGGTTCCAGCTCCCTTCCAAGGCACCTCGCTTTTAGTGGGCAGCTGAGCTCAGGAACCATGAGCAAGCGAAGGTCACCTCAGAGGTGCTAAAACCCCAAAGCCTGTGCCCTCACTGGCATAGCGGAGCCCCACAGGCCTCTCCCGCTGACATTCAGACTGCCCAGGTCGGGGTGCTGTGTGACCTGCACTCAGCAAGGCCAGGCCCTCGGGCACCTGGGCCCACCTGCTGCGCTGGGGGAGCCACCAGCTTTCCCTGAGACAGTGTGTCCACAGATGGAGGCCTCCCTGGCCAGCGGGCTCAGGCGCTCTGGCTCAAGGGGTGTGAACGGTGTGCTTGAGTCCAGGTCCCCAGGCTGGAGTCAAGCCCCTAACCCAGGTCCAGCCCCGCATCCAGCTCCCAGGCCCCAGTCCAGCCTGACATCCAGCCTCTGGTTCCCAGCCCTGGTCCAATCGGA